GCCGCCGCGGCGGGGGGGGGGGCGGCTGGGCGCCTGGACCCGCCCACCCCAAGACCCCTTGTCGTGCACACAGCCGTCACGCAAGGCTTCTCGCCCTCGCCGGCCCCGGCACCGAGAAAGGCGACTGGCTCTTCGTCCTCCGCCGCGGAGGACGAAAAGCCAGTCGCGGGGACTGGATCGGGACCACCTGGGGGTCCACGCTACGAGAAAATCACGGCGTCGGGGTTCTGGGTCTCGAGGGTCGCGGGTCGAGGCAGACCGGCCGCAGATGGGGGGAGATGAGGAGAAGAGAGGAAGGAGCGGGGACCTGGTTCTCCTGCTCTCCTCCAGGTTGGTCCGCCTGTGACGCCAGCGTTTCTGTTCTTCGCCGTGCACAGCGGGCGCACCCGCTCTACGAACAAAGAAACAAAAAGACCAGCCACAGCTGGGGGAGCTGTGGTCCTGAGAGGCATGCTTTCCATGGTCCGGCTACAATCCGGGTTATATTGGGCCCGCCCGGCCCCCCTCCCCCCACGGATAACCTGACCTTGTCGGTTGCGCAGGCCCCCGTTCTTCGTGGCCCCATAGGGAGCTCCACCGAAGGTCCCAGTGCTACCGCCCGCATGCGTCCCCCCACCCAGTACAGCGCTTCGTGGCCCCATAGGGAGCTCCACCGACGGCCCCAGTGCTACCGCCCGCATGCGTCCCCCCACCCAGTACAGCGTTTCGTGGCTTCAGAGGGAGCTCCACCGACGGCCCCAGTGCTACCGCCCGCATGCGTCCCCCCCACCCTGTACAGCGCTTCGTGGCCCCATAGGGAGCTCCACCGACGGCCCCAGCGCTACCGCCCGCATTCGTTCCCCGCCACCCAGTACAGCGTTCCGTGGCCCCATGGGGATCTTCACCAAAGAAGATATTCACACTTGCGGTACCCAGAACTGCATATGGTCGGGTCCTTCGCCAGGATAGTGTTTTGCTTTGTCTCTCTCTCTCTCTCTGTCTCCGTCTCTCTCTTTTTTTTTTTTCTCTCTCTCTCTCTCTCTCTCTCCCTCTCTTCCCTCTCACCCCATACCCGATCAGAGAGACCCCTGGTGCAGGAGTGTGCTGCTGCCGCCTTCGCTGCCACCATCAGGAGTCGCACTCCCACATTCCGTAGCCACTTTGGCTCAGGCGCCCGCCAGCCCCTCCGGCAGCCACGCCGTCCTATGGAGGAGCGACGCGGCGGCCGCGGCCTGCGGCTCGAACAGTACTGGGTAGTTCGGCGTCACCGCGCGCGGCGACCTCAGGGGCAACGTTAGGGGGGGGCTAAAGTTTGAGGGGGGCATGCATCGGCCCCCAATCGCCGATTCATCGCCCATAGGACCCCGATAGTCAGGAGGGAAAGAAACACACAGACACAATTAATCGTCGACTCCCAGGAAAATATGCAAAAATATGGGAAGTGGTGGGGAAGACAAAAACCCAGAAAATATGGGAAAATATGGGGGATATCTTTATTTGTGTGTATTTATTTGTGTGTTCCAGTTCCCCTTCAGATAGGGCCGCCCCGCCCCGGGCCGTGCGATCTCGGAGAGAGAGCGAGAGCTCTGTGCGCACCGGCGGCGGGAGGGGGCGCAGCACCCTCCGCCCTGGCGCGGGGGGGCGGTTTCAAAACTGACCCCCGCACCTCGCTGGTGCAGCACGTAAGGGGGACAGTAGATGGACAATAGATTCGAACCCTCACACGTTCGAGGGGGATTCTAAATCACCCCCGCGCCCCCGGCATCGATGTCGATCTCAGCAAGGGCGGTGCTTTGGGGCTCGAACATTTCTGTCCACTCACGCCCCCCCCGTCGCCACGCCATCAATATTAGATTCGGGGGTTCGGGGGGGCATCTTGGGCCACAGGGTTCGAATAGAATGTCAATGTACGTGAGGTTCCTGACCCCCCCCCTTTACTCGCTGATGGCAAACGACCACGGCGAGTTCCGGCGCCGCACGACGAGTTTCTTACAGGGCTCGGGGCATTCTTGGGGCCGAGTTGGTGCTGAGTTCCTCAATCAGTGTTTGCCCTTAAGCACTTGTGCCCCCAAGGGAATGCAGTGGTCCTGGGGGGAAGGTCTTAGGTCTGGGGAAGATTAGGGTGGGGGCGGGGCGGGTTCAGAGGGCGGCCCCCGGTGATTTTTTCCAGGGGGGGCGGGGAGGGGTCGAGTTCGGGGACCCCCTAAAAAAGTATCTTTCAAGCCAATCAGTGGCCGTGGAATGCGCTCTCTCTGTTGACGTTTTCGGGGTCTCATCGCCGATCTGTCGATGTTTCCCCTCCTGAGCTGGTCGGTCCCCTCTTATCGTTTCCCCTCAGTGGGCCTGAACCACACCCAGGTCGCCGCGGGCCAAAGGCACACCGCCCTGCTGAGGAGCGACGGGACTGCCGCAGCCTGCGGCGAGAATTGCCACGGGCAGTGCGACGTCCCCGCGCTCGGCGAGGGCCTGACCTACACGCAGGCCGCTGCGGGTTTCATGCACACCGTCCTACTGGGGAGCGACGGGACGGCCGCGGCCTGCGGCGAGAATGACGCTGGGCAGCGCGACGTCCCCGTACTCTGCGAGGGCCTGACCTGCACGTTGGTCGCTGCGGGTGCCATGCACACCATCCTGCTGGGGAGCGACGGGCCGCGGCCGCGGCCAGCGACGGGAGTGACCCTGGACGGGGCGGAGTGCGCGACCGAATCCGGGCGGCTCCCGCCGATCGCCCGTCGGACGGGCGCGCCCGATTGATTGATGGCTGGCCGCGTCTCGCGCACGCTCGGCCCCCGCGTCTTCCGGCGCCGACGTCCTGCCGGCGGGCTCGCTGCGGAGCCGGGCTCTCCGCCGGAGAGCTGCGCGGCGCCGTTCGGGCGAGCCGACGTCGGCGCGCCCGGGCGTGAGAGGCAGACGAGACACAACACGAGCGCCGCCCTTCCGCAGGCAGTCGTCGGGACAGCCGCCGTGAGAAGTGGGGGCGCGCGTGCAGGGCGGTCCAGGCCAGTGCGAACCTTGGCGGCGTGCACAAGGGGGTGGGGGGAGGGGGGAGGGCTTCTTAGAAGCAGGCTGCTTCTTAGAAGACGCCGGCCTTGCATCTATAGATCAGGCCCACGCCTTCTAAGAAGCGGGGGTGCTTCTAAGAAGCCCTCCCCTCTCCCCCTGCCCCCCTCTGCGCGTGGCTGAGAACAGCCGTCGCTGGTGGCGAGGGCGCTGGTGGACCTGGTTGGGCGGCGACGGCGGCCATATTGGCGAGAGGACAGCGAGGACTGGTAAGTCAGCAGCTGTGGCTCCGCAGGCGGGGGGCCGCGGCGTCGTTGCCGCCAGTTGAGCCGGGCGCGGGCCCAGCCTCGACGCCGCGCCTGGCGCGCGGGTCTCGCGCGAGCGGCCGTGCAGAAAGCCTGCCCGCCATCCGTCCCCTTCTCACTATGCCCCTCCCCCCCTCCTCCCCTTCCTGGTTTCCCCTTCCCCCCCTTCACCCCTCCCCCTTCTTCGCCATCTTTCTTCCCCGTTCTCCTTCCCCTGTTCTCCCTCAGGGCCAGCCCTGCGCCCCTTCTCCTGCCTCTCCCCGCAGCTGTGGTGCTATCAAGCAGCCCCCCTCCGTGACGGACGGGGTCTGCGCGATGGCCCACCCCCTCCGCGGGGGAAGGAGTTGGCAAGGACAGTTGTTCGCCGATTTTAGCTGGTGGATTACGGTAGGTTTGCGTCGTGTCGACCGGCGGCGACCCCGCCAGCGGCGTTCAACCTTGAACGCCGCCGGCGACCCAGAATCGATCGATGTTGAACGATCGGACGTTGCGGCAGCGGCCGATCGTTCAAGGTTGAACGATCCCCGCGGTGTCAGAAACCAACGCCGAAGTCGGCACGACACGGACCTGCCGTACATATGAACGGTCGATCGCGGCGTGCTTCAGGAGTGGGGGTGGGGGAACTGTCAGCCCGTGCGTGCCACAGGCTGACGGAGGGAGAGCGGTCTTGGGCCGATGCCGGGAAGGCGCAGGCTCGGCGTCTCTGGGCGTGGCACGGAGCTCGGAGGAGAGGCCGCGCTCGTCCTTCCGCCTGCGGCAAGGGGGGGGGGGAGCAGCGGGAGAGGGGGGGAGGCGGAGCGGCAGCAGCGGGAGGGCCGAGGAGGACGGCGACGAGGAGGAGGAGCAGGAGGAGGAGGAGGAGGGAGCTCGGAATTCGGAACCCGATGATCCGCGCACGAGATCAACGGAGAAAAGGACGAGGAGGAGGAGGAGGAGGATACTGATGCTGATGCTGCTGGTGATGCTGATGATGCTGATGATGATGGTGCTGATGCTGATGATGATGATGATGATGCTGATGGTGATGATGGTGATGGTGATGCTGATGCTGATGATGTTGATGATGATGCTGCTGATGTTGATGCTGCTGATACTGATGCTGATACTGATGCTGTTGATGTTGATGTTGATAGTGATGATGCTGATGATGCTGATGATTATGATGATGAGGAGGATGAGGAGGACGAGGAGGACGATGATGATGACGATGACGATGACGATGACGATGATGATGATGATGATGATGATGATGATGATGATGATGATGATGATGATGATGATGATGATGATGATGATGATGATGATGATGATGTTGCTGATGATGATGATGATGATGATGATGATGATGATGATGATGGGGTGATGATGCTGCTGCTGATGATGATGACGATGATGGTGGTGGTGGTGGTGACGATGATGATGATGATGATGATGATGATGATGCTGATGATGATGATGATGATGATGATGCTGATGATGATGATGATGATGATGGAGGAGGAGGAGGAGGAGAAGAGGAGGAGGAGGAGGAGGAGGAGGAGGAGGAGGACAAGGATAAGGGGCTCCCGTAGCCACTAGGGCTCAAGCCGTACTGGCCCCCGGGCGCCCAGCGCGCTGTTTTTAAGACTCTGTCAGAGGCTTAGGTGTGTTTTTTTTGGCTTGCTCGGGCGACTTGAAGGGCGCCCGCCCGGTTTCCAAGAAAGGGCCACCCGAAGA